ACATCCTGCCTCGAACAGCAACTGATTATTGTATTACAGGAGTACCTAACTTTCGTGTATTAAAAGATAAGTGGGCATAATACCCCGGATGGGTGCATTTCACATCTAATCTAATTCTAATACTTCTTTTAAAAGAAGCCGAATGTTGTGATGATTCTCACCCCCTAACGCGCGGGGGCCTACAAGCCTATGTCATTCTAGACCATATGGCTAAATCATAAAAACGTTGATATACTTTTAATTGGTTGCTTGAGCTCGGAAATGACGCACTTCCCATGGCTACGGGCCGAATATCAGAAATCCCTGTGCTTCTTTAAGAAACTATTTGGTGAACTAGTGTTTGTTCGAGAGCATCGCGTACACGACGCGGAATTGCTGAGTCGACGCGCAATTTTGTGCCCGAAAAATGAGCATTCCCGTTTGGCGAACGAAGACGTTCTGTCCCGTTTGGAAGGTGCATCGAGAACATGGAAGAGCACTCACGATGTAAAGGCAGATCAGGGTGAAGATGACGATCGAGAACAGGTCAACTTTCCCGTCGAGTTCCTCAATTCCGTTGAATCCAAATGGAATACCGCCTCACGATCTTAATCTTAAAGTCTGTGTCATCGTCATGCTTCTTCGTAATCTGTCTAACAAAAACGGCATTTGCAATGGCACCCGGTCGATTGTTCGAGATATGAATGATAACGTCATCCAAGTCGAGATCATCACCGGTACGCGGCACGTAAACTTACATTTATTGCCTCGAGTGTCACTCGACACAGCGACCGATCCCAATATTCCCTTCGATATGTGCCGAGGACAATCCACGATTCGATTCGCTTGGGGTATGACCCCCAACAAAGCTCAGGGATACACGTTTGCCTGGTCTCTTGCTGCGGGAGGCGGTTTTCTCTCACGATCGGCTATAAACTGCTGGGTTTTTTCGAATTCGGTCTGCCGATTGCCTCCAAATCCAAGTGGTCGATGGGAAAATGCAAGGCCCAAACGATAATGGCTTTTTAACTGACAATGTCGTGTAAAAGGAAGTGTAGATTCCAAATTCCAATTTCCTTCATGAATTAGTTTCGCTAATAAATTTTGTGCTCTTGATTTCGATTTACAGAATTATATTTGTCGTGATTTCTTCTACTGATCTTGCAAATATTTCTGATGTTGTGATTTTTTTTAAATATTGACTTCCAAAATAAATTATTTTCCCTCATTTGTCGCTTTTCGAATTTGAAATGGTCTTTTCCAATCATGAGTCATTCCTTCATTCGTGATTTATTTGTGAGGTGTGTTATCGATGGTAATGAAATTAGCTGGGCGGCAACACTTTCGAACTTCTTGAGGTTTATTTATTTTAAAAATTTTAATGTTTAGTTTGAACCGAACTGTTTCATATCTTTATGTAAACATTTTAACATTTCTGCCTATCCCATGCAAACGTTACCCCCTCGTTCGTCTGAATTTCACCGATCTTCCCTCTAATCTTTGCCTGAAGGGTCTTCTGACAGGTTGAGAGATGAGGGAAAAACCGGTATTATACCGCAGTTTCACCAACCAAATTTTACCTCGGCGGAAAATTTTTTGTAAAGGATTAGACGGCCAGCGTTGCGGCCGCTAGTACTTAATATAATTCATATCTAACGTTACGGTGTCGCACTTAACATTGAGGAACATTAACACCTATAGAACTCTTCTTATAACCATCTTGAGAATTGGGCTGTGTAAAATGTTTGAATGTTCGATGCTCGAAATTAAAGGAAAATATCCCGCAGAAACGTTCATTTGCGTACTGGCACTGAGCAGCGGAAGTCGCGAGACTCAGCATATTTTGTTTGGGGAAGTCCATCGATGAATAACGCGCCAAGTAGCATTTGCAATATTTTTGCATTTTCTAAGCAAAAACAATTACCATAAATGTATGCATTTTAGTAAGTAATTTCCTATCACCTTATACTAACATAATGAAACATGTTCCAACATTTGGGGAGGGTTATGGAGTTGGGGGAAACGACGTTCTCAGGCTCGTGAACAGCCAGCCGCGGGGAGGGAGTGCTGTTTTGCTCTTTTGCGCACTCATGCCACGCAGCTATTATACATTCGGAGTGGGGAAACAAGTTAACCCTACTTTTGGTGGCAGTTGGTAGAGATACTAGTCGTGCAAGTGTTCGGCAGCATCTGGAAGCTCTGTTCAATCTCAAACGAGTGGTGCAAGTCGTTTTACAACACCTTCAGCGAATCAAATTTGTTTCCCACTTGAACACACCTATATCGGAAAATTCGAGAGCAGTAACATTGTGTGCAGAAACAGAAACATTCCTGCCTACTTTCTTGACTTGTACCGCAATAAAAATGTCGCGCGAAGTCGGAAAAGGGATTTAAATAAGAAATCGTTCTCAAAAGAAAAAGGTAAGCATAGACTAAGGTAAATATTCAATTAGGCCTCAAGTTTAGTCCTTCACGATTGCAGAAAAGAATAAGAAAGTGGCTTTTAGACTACTTCATTTTCAGCAGATGTACTATTCCAATAGGCACATGATGTAGATATACCGAAGAGAGAGATGGTCCATAGCTGGGAAGAATCGAACATAAAAACACATGGCGCGGGATTCGGTACCGTTCATTCAGTCCTAATAGTTTTACCACGTTTTTTCACTTGACTCGTGAACAAGTCAAGCGAAAAACATTGCAGTACCCTCGGTTGATGTCGTATGTCCTGAAATCGCAACATGTTCCGGTTTCAAGTATTCAGTTCTCGCGTACAGAAAGGTCGCACTCTGCTTTCTAATGACGAACTTCTTTTCCACATTCCCTGTCGGCTAAATGTATTTTCTGCTATCACCAGGATCGTCACAGAAATGATTTTACCCCATGACCCGTTCGAATTTGATGGATTCTCGACCTCGAAGTACTGGCGGATTCATCATGGAAGGTTGCAAGTGTAGCCAATCGGAAAAATTATTTCACGCCATGGTTCACCTTCATTTTTATTCACGAGTTTTTGATTTAAAAAGAGGAAATGCAGCCGACAGATCATTAATGCAGCACCAAATTGAAAACATAAATGACAAGGAATGAAAGGTTCCTTAAATCAACATCGTTGAAATGGGAAATTATAAAAATGATCACAGATATTGGGATTTGAAGTCTACCTTTTATTAGGAACGAATAATAAAGTCGAGAGCATCTGTAATTATAAGTTCATCCCTCAAATTGAAGCATCTGCAACACATCAATGATTGAGGATCGACGGTAGCATCAATGACGTATTGAAGTCATCCCAGAGGCGTGCAAAAGTCACCAGGGGTGTCACAAACCCCGGTTTCGGGGTTGAACCAAGTATCTCCGGGGCATTCCTGAAAAAGCAAGCATATATGAAATTCGCAGTGAGGAAGTGACCTTAAAGGCCGTGAAGGCGTATCACCATCTGACGGAGTGCATCCTGGAACTCACATGTAAAGTGGGTATTCCATTGTTGCATAGGTAGAAGTGTTCGCAAGATTCAGGGTCAGGGAAAAATCCATCAGGTTCAGGACATTGGAATCCCCCGCTGCTAGTTGTGGCTTCCGTCGACGAAATCGTGGTATCTGGCGACGAAGTAGTAGTATCCGGCGACGAAGTCGTTGTATCCGTCGATGAGGTTGTTGTATCTGTCGACGAAGTAGTGGTATCTGGAGACGGAGTGGTGATATCCGTCGACGTAGGGGGTTGGTTTGCTAAATGAAAAGGCAAATTACATGGAAATGAACTACATCATCGAAGGTGATTACGTAATACGCCACAAAAAATGCATATCGAAATCATAGGACAGAATAGGCACATAGAATTAAATACTGAAAGAATTTCACGAGTTTATTAATTTAAAAAATACATACATGATGCCATATGCCATCATGGGCCTAGAAAGGGTTAATAAGAAAAACATATGGGAAAAGGAATTTAAGGAAATAACTAAATGCGTAAATGGCGTTTCAGTGCTAAAAAGGCTATGGTTAAATTTAACCCTCTGGGGCATGAATTTAGGAAAGCAAAACAAAAAGACGTTCTCTCAACTCTAGTCTAAAAATTATCTCTGCAGTAATAGTTCCGCCGCCATATGGAAATACTGAATTTGTCTTCAGGAATAGACAGCATGCACCACAAGTTTCAAGGCATATGCATCATGGATGAAAAGCCAAAAAAGTATAGCCGACCACAACAAGGGACGCGATGCGCGGGAAGGTTACGAGAGTATCTTATACCTCTTCAAAAATGAGATCAAGGAAAGACATGAAACTTTATGAACTGACATGTTGTAGGTCTTGGAAGGAGATCCCCACAGTCCACATCATCCGGGGGCATGCAATACAGTTCTTCTTGGCTGAAAAGGTCCTCATTCGGACACTCATGTGGGAAAGCAACAAAATCTATGCAGTGGTAGAACATGTAACAAAACGTCTCGTGGGGATAGACACCATCGGATGTTGGACATTGAAAGCCTTCTCCACCAGTCGTTGAACTGCCGCTTCCCGGCGTGGTTGATTGAGTTTCTTCAGCTGCAAAAACGAAAACGTGGATGACGCACCATTTACAATTCATGACTTACAGAGATTAGATGGAACGCAGAAAAGTAGCGTGCGATTTGATTTCCTTCACGAGCGAACGGAAACGCTTACTAGTTAGTGAGACTGAATCCTGAGAAGTTACAAGAAAAGATGGACACAATTTTCTTAGATGTTGGTAAACCTTTGCTTCAAGAGAGGTATGATCAAGGATAAGAAGGTTTTGATTTCGTACAGGGTGTACTGCCTGTGGGCCTGGGAAGTCTGTCTCCGCAGTCTACCGATTCGGGAAAGTCGCAGTAAAAGTGAATATCAGAAAAAAGCCAGTCGTCTTGGCAATCCATTTCGATCGGTACACTTTCGTAGCAGCTGTAGAATTTCCAGCAGAACTCCGGGTGAGGGAATTCCCCACTGGGCTCGGGACACTGGAATCCCTGTCCATTCATCTTTCCTGCGGAATAAGATACAAATAACTTGCGGCACGGAAATCCAAGAATGGGGCACCTTGAAATAATTACTCGACGATCGATAGATGTTGATGTGTTACACTAACCTGCGAAGAATAGTACCGACAACAAAAGAACTACCAATCTCTGTTGCATGTTGTGTGCTGCTACACGATCGCTTTTGACCAGAGCGATGGAAAGGAAATGGAGTGCGTGTAGGATCTTTCCCTCTCTTCTGCGAATCCTTATCGGGAGCAACCACTTGAAAAGCATTAGACGTCAATGAGGATTTCGCATCTCCTCCGTCCTCCACTCCATACCGCGGAGGTTTCGCTCCAAGGATACAGCAATTTGTATCATTGGAATGTGGCCTCCATCGAGGGGCTTCCAGAAATCAATCGAAATCTTTTACACTGCGCATCACATATTCGTGAGATAGCGAATTTCGTCACCAATACGCAACAATGCTCGTACAAATGTAAGATTTTTCAACAATGATATCGACTTTTAAACAATTTTTTTTCGCAGTTGAAGCGATATGTCGGAGTTGAGGAACAGGAAAAAAGTTTCCTTGTTTTATCCCACCATGGAATAAGTTGAACGAGTAGAGTGAGTGGAAAGAGGACCCACTCCTAGGTGGTTCGACATTCCGAAGTGAATTTCGCTACTAATCCTCCAGAATTGCAAAGATTAAATTTGAACGGGACAGGGCTCCTCGCACATCCTGCCTCGAACAGCAACTGATTATTGTATTACAGGAGTACCTAACTTTCGTGTATTAAAAGATAAGTGGGCATAATACCCCGGATGGGTGCATTTCACATCTAATCTAATTCTAATACTTCTNTTAGTTTCGCTAATAAATTTTGTGCTCTTGATTTCGATTTACAGAATTATATTTGTCGTGATTTCTTCTACTGATCTTGCAAATATTTCTGATGTTGTGATTTTTTTTAAATATTGACTTCCAAAATAAATTATTTTCCCTCATTTGTCGCTTTTCGAATTTGAAATGGTCTTTTCCAATCATGAGTCATTCCTTCATTCGTGATTTATTTGTGAGGTGTGTTATCGATGGTAATGAAATTAGCTGGGCGGCAACACTTTCGAACTTCTTGAGGTTTATTTATTTTAAAAATTTTAATGTTTAGTTTGAACCGAACTGTTTCATATCTTTATGTAAACATTTTAACATTTCTGCCTATCCCATGCAAACGTTACCCCCTCGTTCGTCTGAATTTCACCGATCTTCCCTCTAATCTTTGCCTGAAGGGTCTTCTGACAGGTTGAGAGATGAGGGAAAAACCGGTATTATACCGCAGTTTCACCAACCAAATTTTACCTCGGCGGAAAATTTTTTGTAAAGGATTAGACGGCCAGCGTTGCGGCCGCTAGTACTTAATATAATTCATATCTAACGTTACGGTGTCGCACTTAACATTGAGGAACATTAACACCTATAGAACTCTTCTTATAACCATCTTGAGAATTGGGCTGTGTAAAATGTTTGAATGTTCGATGCTCGAAATTAAAGGAAAATATCCCGCAGAAACGTTCATTTGCGTACTGGCACTGAGCAGCGGAAGTCGCGAGACTCAGCATATTTTGTTTGGGGAAGTCCATCGATGAATAACGCGCCAAGTAGCATTTGCAATATTTTTGCATTTTCTAAGCAAAAACAATTACCATAAATGTATGCATTTTAGTAAGTAATTTCCTATCACCTTATACTAACATAATGAAACATGTTCCAACATTTGGGGAGGGTTATGGAGTTGGGGGAAACGACGTTCTCAGGCTCGTGAACAGCCAGCCGCGGGGAGGGAGTGCTGTTTTGCTCTTTTGCGCACTCATGCCACGCAGCTATTATACATTCGGAGTGGGGAAACAAGTTAACCCTACTTTTGGTGGCAGTTGGTAGAGATACTAGTCGTGCAAGTGTTCGGCAGCATCTGGAAGCTCTGTTCAATCTCAAACGAGTGGTGCAAGTCGTTTTACAACACCTTCAGCGAATCAAATTTGTTTCCCACTTGAACACACCTATATCGGAAAATTCGAGAGCAGTAACATTGTGTGCAGAAACAGAAACATTCCTGCCTACTTTCTTGACTTGTACCGCAATAAAAATGTCGCGCGAAGTCGGAAAAGGGATTTAAATAAGAAATCGTTCTCAAAAGAAAAAGGTAAGCATAGACTAAGGTAAATATTCAATTAGGCCTCAAGTTTAGTCCTTCACGATTGCAGAAAAGAATAAGAAAGTGGCTTTTAGACTACTTCATTTTCAGCAGATGTACTATTCCAATAGGCACATGATGTAGATATACCGAAGAGAGAGATGGTCCATAGCTGGGAAGAATCGAACATAAAAACACATGGCGCGGGATTCGGTACCGTTCATTCAGTCCTAATAGTTTTACCACGTTTTTTCACTTGACTCGTGAACAAGTCAAGCGAAAAACATTGCAGTACCCTCGGTTGATGTCGTATGTCCTGAAATCGCAACATGTTCCGGTTTCAAGTATTCAGTTCTCGCGTACAGAAAGGTCGCACTCTGCTTTCTAATGACGAACTTCTTTTCCACATTCCCTGTCGGCTAAATGTATTTTCTGCTATCACCAGGATCGTCACAGAAATGATTTTACCCCATGACCCGTTCGAATTTGATGGATTCTCGACCTCGAAGTACTGGCGGATTCATCATGGAAGGTTGCAAGTGTAGCCAATCGGAAAAATTATTTCACGCCATGGTTCACCTTCATTTTTATTCACGAGTTTTTGATTTAAAAAGAGGAAATGCAGCCGACAGATCATTAATGCAGCACCAAATTGAAAACATAAATGACAAGGAATGAAAGGTTCCTTAAATCAACATCGTTGAAATGGGAAATTATAAAAATGATCACAGATATTGGGATTTGAAGTCTACCTTTTATTAGGAACGAATAATAAAGTCGAGAGCATCTGTAATTATAAGTTCATCCCTCAAATTGAAGCATCTGCAACACATCAATGATTGAGGATCGACGGTAGCATCAATGACGTATTGAAGTCATCCCAGAGGCGTGCAAAAGTCACCAGGGGTGTCACAAACCCCGGTTTCGGGGTTGAACCAAGTATCTCCGGGGCATTCCTGAAAAAGCAAGCATATATGAAATTCGCAGTGAGGAAGTGACCTTAAAGGCCGTGAAGGCGTATCACCATCTGACGGAGTGCATCCTGGAACTCACATGTAAAGTGGGTATTCCATTGTTGCATAGGTAGAAGTGTTCGCAAGATTCAGGGTCAGGGAAAAATCCATCAGGTTCAGGACATTGGAATCCCCCGCTGCTAGTTGTGGCTTCCGTCGACGAAATCGTGGTATCTGGCGACGAAGTAGTAGTATCCGGCGACGAAGTCGTTGTATCCGTCGATGAGGTTGTTGTATCTGTCGACGAAGTAGTGGTATCTGGAGACGGAGTGGTGATATCCGTCGACGTAGGGGGTTGGTTTGCTAAATGAAAAGGCAAATTACATGGAAATGAACTACATCATCGAAGGTGATTACGTAATACGCCACAAAAAATGCATATCGAAATCATAGGACAGAATAGGCACATAGAATTAAATACTGAAAGAATTTCACGAGTTTATTAATTTAAAAAATACATACATGATGCCATATGCCATCATGGGCCTAGAAAGGGTTAATAAGAAAAACATATGGGAAAAGGAATTTAAGGAAATAACTAAATGCGTAAATGGCGTTTCAGTGCTAAAAAGGCTATGGTTAAATTTAACCCTCTGGGGCATGAATTTAGGAAAGCAAAACAAAAAGACGTTCTCTCAACTCTAGTCTAAAAATTATCTCTGCAGTAATAGTTCCGCCGCCATATGGAAATACTGAATTTGTCTTCAGGAATAGACAGCATGCACCACAAGTTTCAAGGCATATGCATCATGGATGAAAAGCCAAAAAAGTATAGCCGACCACAACAAGGGACGCGATGCGCGGGAAGGTTACGAGAGTATCTTATACCTCTTCAAAAATGAGATCAAGGAAAGACATGAAACTTTATGAACTGACATGTTGTAGGTCTTGGAAGGAGATCCCCACAGTCCACATCATCCGGGGGCATGCAATACAGTTCTTCTTGGCTGAAAAGGTCCTCATTCGGACACTCATGTGGGAAAGCAACAAAATCTATGCAGTGGTAGAACATGTAACAAAACGTCTCGTGGGGATAGAGACCATCGGATGTTGGACATTGAAAGCCTTCTCCACCAGTCGTTGAACTGCCGCTTCCCGGCGTGGTTGATTGAGTTTCTTCAGCTGCAAAAACGAAAACGTGGATGACGCACCATTTACAATTCATGACTTACAGAGATTAGATGGAACGCAGAAAAGTAGCGTGCGATTTGATTTCCTTCACGAGCGAACGGAAACGCTTACTAGTTAGTGAGACTGAATCCTGAGAAGTTATATGGAAATAAAATGTAGACAATTTTCTTAGCCGATGGTAAACCTTTGCTTCAAAAGAGGTATGATCAAGGGTGGGAAGGTTTTGATTTCGTACAGGGTGTACTGCCTGTGGGCCTGGGAAGTCTGTCTCCGCAGTCTACCGATTCGGGAAAGTCGCAGTATAAGTGAATATCAGAAAAAAGCCAGTCGTCTTGGCAATCCATTTCGACCGGTACACTTTCGTAGCAGCTGTAGAATTTCCAGCAGAACTCCGGGTGAGGGAATTCCCCGCTGGGCTCGGGACATTGGAATCCCTGTCCATTGATCTTTCCTGAAGAAAAAAATACAAATAACTTGCGGCACGGAAATCCAAGAATGGGGCACCTTGAAATAATTATCCAACGATCGATGGATGTTGATGTGTTACACTAACCTGCGAAGAATAGTACCGACAACAAAAGAACTACCAATCTCTGTTGCATGTTGTGTGCTGCTACACGATCGCTTTTGACCAGAGCGATGGAAAGGAAATGGAGTGCGTGTAGGATCATTCCCTCACTTCTGCGAATCCTTATCGAGAGGGACCACTTGAAAACCGTGAGACGCCAATGAGGATTTCGCATCTCCTCCGTCCTCCACTCCATACCGCGGAGGTTTCGCTCGAAGGATACAACTACTTATATCATTGGAATGTGGCCTCCATCGAGGGGCTTCCAGAAATCAATCGAAATCTTTTATACTGCGTATCACATATTCGTGAGATAGCGAATTTCTTCACCAATACGCCACAATGTTCGTACAAATGTAGGATTTTTCAACAATGATATCGACTTTCAAGCTATTATTTTCGCAGTTGAAGCGATTTATCGGAGTTGAGGAACAGGAAAAAAGTTTCCTTGTTTTATCCCACCATGGAATAAGTTGAACGAGTAGAGTGAGTGGAAAGAGGACCCACTCCTAGGTGGTTCGACATTCCGAAGTGAATTTCGCTACTAATCCTCCAGAATTGCAAAGATTAAATTTGAACGGGACAGGGCTCCTCGCACATCCTGCCTCGAACAGCAACTGATTATTGTATTACAGGAGTACCTAACTTTCGTGTATTAAAAGATAAGTGGGCATAATACCCCGGATGGGTGCATTTCACATCTAATCTAATTCTAATACTTCTATTGAAAGAGGCCGAATGTTGTGATGACTTTCAACGCTAACGCGCGAGGCCTACAAGCCTATGTCATTCTAGACCATATGGCTAGGTCATAAAAACGTTGATATCCTTTTAATTGGTTGCTTTAGCTCGGAAATGACGCACTTCCCAGGGCTACGGGTCGGATATCCGGAATCTCTGTGCTTCTTTGACTAAGAAAGTATTTGGTGAACTAGTGTTTGGTCGAGAGTATTGCGTACACGACGCGGAATTGCTGAGTCGGTGCGCAATTTTGTGCCCGAAAAATGAGCATTCCCGTTTGCCGAACGAAGACGTTCTGTCCCGTTTGGAAGGTGCATCGAGAACATGGAAGAGCACTCACGATGTAAAGGCAGATCAGGGTGAAGATGACGATCGAGAGCAGGTCAACTTTCCCGTCGAGTTCCTCAATTCCGTTGAATCCAAATGGAATACCGCCTCACGATCTCAATCTTAAAGTCTGTGTCATCGTCATGCTTCTTCGTAATCAGTCTATCAAAAACGGCATTTGCAATGGTACCTGGTTGATTGCTCGAGATATGAATGACAACGTCATCCAAGTCGAGATCATCACCGGTACGCGGCACGGAAACTTACATTTATTGCCTCGAGTGTCACTCGACACACCGACCGATCCGAGTATTCCCTTCGATATGTGCTGAGGACAATCCACGATTCGATTCGCTTAGGGTATGACCCCCAACAAAGCTCAGGGATACACGTTTGCCTGGTCTCTTGCTGCGGGAGGCCGTTTTCTCTCACTATCGGCTATAAACTGCGTGTTTTCGAGTCCGGTCTGCCGATTGCCTCCAAATCCAAGTGGTCGATGGGAAAATGCAAGGCCCGAACGATAATGGCGTTTTAACTGACAATATCGTGTAAAAGGAAATGTAGGTTCCAAATCCAATTTCCTTCATGAATTAGTTTCGCTAATAAATTTTGTGCTCTTGATTTCGATTTACAGAATTATATTGTTGTGATTTTTTTTAAATATTGACATCCAAAATAAATTATTATCCCTCATTTGTCGCTTTTCGAATTTGAAATGGTCTTTTCCATTCATGAGTCATTCCTTCATTCGTGATTTATTTGTGAGGTGTGTTATCGATGATAATAAAATTAGCAGGGCGGCAACACTTTCGAACATCTCTTGGTATATTTATTTTAAAAATTTTAATGTTTGGTTTGAACCGAACAGCTTCATATCATTATGTAAAATTTTTAAAATTTCTGCCTATCCCATGCAAACGTTACCCCCTCGTTCGTCTGAATTTCACCGATTTTCCCTCTTATCTTTGCCTAAAGGGTCTTCTGACAGGTTGAGAGATGGGGGAAAAACCGGTATAATACCGCAGTTTCACCAACCAAATTTTAACTGGGGGGAAAATTTTTTGTAAGGGATTAGACGGCCAGCGTAGCGGCCGCTAGTACTTAAGATAATTCATATCTAACGTTACGATGTCGCACTTAACATTGAAGAACATGAACACCTATAGAACTTTTCTTAAAAACATTTTGAGAATTGGGCTGTCTGAAATGTTTGAATGTTCGATGCTGGAAATTAAAGGAAAATATCCCACAGAAACGTTCATTTGCGTACCAGCACTGAGCAGCGGAAGACGCGAGACAGCATATTTTGTTTGGGGAAGTCCATCGATGAATAACGCGCTAAGTTGCATTTGCAGTATTTTTGCATTTTCTAAGCAAAAGCAATTACCATAAATGTATTCATATTCGTAAGTAATTTCCAATCACCTTACACCAACATAATAAAACATGTTCCAACATTGGGAAGGGGAGGGTGATGGAGTTGGGGGAAACGACGTTCTCTGGCACGTGAACAGCCACGCCGCGGGGAGGGAGTGCTGTTTTGCTCTTTTGCGCACTCAGGCCACGCAGCTAATATACGTGCGGAGTGGGCAAACAAGTACAGTACGCTCGGTTGATGTCCTATGTCCTGAAATCGTAACATGTTCCGGTTTCAAGCATTCAGCTCTCTTGTACAGAAAGGTCGCACTCTGCTTTCGAATAACGAACTTATTTTCCACATACCCTGTCGGCTAAAGGTATTTTCTGCTATCACCAGGATCGTCACATTAATGATTATACAAATGATTTTACCCCATGACCCCTTCGAATTTGATGGATTCTCGACCTCGAAGTACTAGCGGATTCATCACGGAAGGTTGCAAGTGTAGCCAATAGGAAAAATTATTTCACGCCATGGTTCACCTTCATTTTTATTCACGAGTTTGTGATTTAAAAAGAGGTAATGCAGCCGACAGATCATTAATGCAGCACCAAATTGAAAACATAAATGACAAGGAATGAAAGGTTCCTTAAATCAACATCGTTGGAATGGGAACTTATAAAAATGATCACAGATATGGGGATGTGATGTCTACCTTTTAAATTATTAGGAACGAATAATAAAGTCGAGAGCATCTGTAATTATGAGTTCATTCCTCAATTAGAAGCATCTGGAACACATCAATTATTGAAGATCGACGGTAGCATTAATGACGTATTAAAGTCATCCCAGAGGCGTGCAAAAGTCACCAGGGGTGTCACAAACCCCGGTTTCGGGGTTGAACCAAGTATCTCCGGGGCATTCCTGAAAAAGCAAGCATATATGAGATTCGCAGTGAGGAAGTGACCTTAAATGCCGTGAAGGCGTATCACCATCTGACGGAGTGCATCCTGGAACTCACATGTAGAGTTGGTATTCCATTGTCGCATAGGTAGAAGTGTTCACAAGATTCAGGGTCGGGGAAAAATCCATCAGGTTCAGGACATTGGAATCCCCCGCTGCTAGTTGTGGCTTCCGTCGACGAAGTCGTGGTATCCGTCGACGAAGTCGTGGTATCTGGCGAAGAAGTCGTGGTATCTGGCGACGAAGTCGTTGTATCCGTCGATGAGGTTGTGGCATCTGTCGACGAAGTAGTGGTATCTGGAGACGGAGTGGTGATATCCGTCGACGTAGGGGGTTGGTTTGCTAAATGAAAAGGCAAATTACATGGAAATGAACTACATCATCGAAGGTGATTACGTAATACGCCACAAAAAATGCATATCGAAATCATAGGGTAGATATGGCTCATAGAATTAAATACTGAAAGAATTTCACAAATTTAATAATTTAAAAAATACATACATGATGCAATATGGCATCATAGGTCTAGAAAGGGTTAAATAAGAAAAACAAATGGGAAAAGGAATTTAAGGAAATAACTAAATGCGTAAATGGCGTTTCAGTGCTAAACAGGCTATGGTTAAATTTAACCCTCTGGGGCATGAATTTAGGAAAGCAAAACAAAAAGACGTTCTCTCAACTCTGGTCTAAAAATTATCTCTGCAGTAACAGTTCTGCCGCCATATGGAAATACTGAATTTGTCTTCGGGAATAAACAGCATGCACCACAAGTTTCAGGGCATATGTATCATGGCTAAAAAGCCAAAAAAGTATAGTCGACCACAACAGGGGACGCGATGCGCGGGAAGGTTACGAGAGTATCTTATACCTCTTCAAACATGAGATCAAAGAAAGACATGAAACTTTATGAACTGACATGTTGTAGTTCTTGGTAGGAGATCCCCACAGTCCACATCATCCGGGGGCATGCAATAGTGTACCTCTTGACTGAAGAGGTCCTCATTCGGACACTCGTGTGGATAAGCAACGAAATCTACGCAGTTGTAGAACATGTAGCAGTAGGTCTCGTGGGGATAGAGACCATCGGCTGTTGGACATTGAAAGCCTTCTCCACCAGTCCTAGAGTCACCACTTCCTGGCGTGGTTGTTTCCTGGCGTGGAGTCTCTTCAGCTGCAAAAACGAAAACGCGCATGACGCACCATGTACAATTCATGATTTACAGAGATTAGATGGAACGCAGGAAAGTAGGGGGCGATTTGATTTGCTTCACGAGCGAACGGACATGCTTACTATAGTTAGTGAGACTGAATCCTGAGAAGTTACATGAAAAGAAGATGGACACAATTTTCCTTGAAGCAAAGGTAAACCTTTGCTTCAAGAGAGGTATGATCAAGGATAAGAAGGTTTTGATTTCGTACATGGTGTACTGCCTGTGGGCCTGGGAAGTCTGTCTCCGCAGTCTACCGATTCGGGGAAGTTGCAATAAAAGATGACATCAGAAAAAAGCCAGCCGTCTGGGCAATCCATTTCGACCGGTACACTTTCGTGGCATCTGTAGAATTTCCAGCAGATCTCCGGGTGAGGGAATTTCCCGCCTGGCAAGGGACACTGAAATCCCTGTCCATTGATCTTTCCTGTGGAATAAAACAAAAATAACTTGCGGCACGGAAATCCAAGAATGGGGCACCTTGAAATAATTACCCAACGATCGATGGATGTTGATGTGTTACACTAACCTGCGAAGAACAGTACCGACAATGAAAGTACTACCAATCTCTGTTGCATGTTGTGTGCTGCTACACGATCGCTTTTGGCCAGAACGATGGAAATGAAATAGACTGGGTGTAGGATATTCCTCTCTCTCTCTTCTGTGAATCCTTATCGGGAGAAGCACTTGATAGAAGGACCCCAATGAGGATTTCACATCTCTTCCCTCCTCCACTCCAAGCCAAGGAGGTTTCGCTCCAAGGATGCAACTACTTGTGTCATTGAAGTGTGACCTCCATCGAGGGGCTTCCAGAAATCAATCGAAATCTTTTTACTGCGCATCACATATTCGTGAGATATCTAATTTCGTCACTAATATGCTACAATGTTCGTACGAATGTAAATGAAAATGTTAGATTTTTCAAAAATGGTGTTGTCGTTCAAGTAATTGTTTTCGTAGTTCAAGCAATTTATCGGAATTGAATAACAGGAAAAAAAGTTCCCATTTTTATTATCCCATCGTGAAAGAAGTTCAATAAATAGAGTCAGTGGAGGGAGGACCCACTTCTAGGGGGACGATATTGCGAAGTAAAATTCGCTGCTAAACCTCCAGAACTGCCACGATTATCCTCGAACGGCACTGGTCTCGTCACACATTCTGCCCCACTTATATTTGCACAGCAACGTATTATTGTATTACAGGGGTACCTTCCATTCGTGTCTTAAACGAAAGGTTTACATCATACCGGGAAGGGTGAATTTCACTAACTTTCCGTAATTCATAGTTGACGTTACGGTGTCGCACTTAACCTTGAAGAACATGGGCACCTATAGAACTTTTCTTATAACGATTTTGGGAATTGGACGGTTTGAAATGTTTGAATATTCCATATTCGAAATAAAATGTAAATATTCCCTCACTCATGCCATGCCGCTTTGTACATGCGGAGTGGGCAACCCTACTTTTGGTGGCAGTTTGTAGTGTTATTGGAGTCTCCAATAGCATCGGAAAGCTCTGTTCAATCCCAAACGAATGGTGCTAGCCATTTTGCAACACCTGCAGCGAATCAAAGTGTTTTCCCACTTACACATACCTGGATCGAAAAATTCGAGCGCAGAAACAGATATATCCCTGCCTACTTTCGTGACTTATACCGCAATAAAAATGTCACGCGAAGTCGGAATGATGTTTAAATCTCAAATATTTTTGTAAAGAAAAATGTAAAGACAGACTGACCTTTATAACTAAAATAATTGTTGAAGTAGGACTCAAGTTCAGTCCTTCTTGATTGCAGAAAGGATTATTAAAAGTGGTTTTCAGACTACTTCATATTCAGCAGTTGTACTACTCCAATTGGCTCATAATGTAGATATACCGATGATTCAGGATGGTGCCATTGCTGGGAAGATCAAGCATAAATACACATGGCGCGGGATTCGGTACCGTTCATTCATTCCTAATAGTTTTACAGGTTTTTTTCCCCACTTGACTCGTGCACAAGTTGAGTGAAAAACACAGCAGATTCCAGTCGGCAATTTATCCCCGCACCAAGTGTGGCTTATCTCCGAGGTTCGCCTGTTACGAGCTTGGGCCATGTACATCAGCTCACACATGCATCCATGGGCCATGGGTGGCATGTGCATGGG